AGGGGGAGGGGGAGGGGGAAGGGGAAGGGGAAGGGGAAGTGGAAGTGGTGGAGATACTGGGATGGGCTGGAGGCGTAAATCTCGTGCATCATACTAGTTTGCCTGGTGTATAAAGCAAAAGGAATCATACACATGTCCGTTGAAGAAGCCAACAGGCAGCAACACCAAGATGCAAGACTCACTTCAAGGCCATCACTGAATGTACAAGGTGGTGAGAACCTTCAAAACCACACAATCCTAGGGACAGGGTTAACCTTTCTGGTCAACCTAAATATTCACTAGTAAACAAAGAAAGCAAAAAAGCATTACATGGAGTATCTTTGTATATGCAGTATCCACCGTATCCATCTTCAGTAAAGTAGTAAAATATGCTAGGCTGCCTTTAGAATTTAGTTTTGTGATAATGTGTAATTTTTATGGAACCTTGAGCGTTACTCATTCTACATATATACGATGTTCCACATGTCTTATTGAATGCACATTTGCTATCAGTGTCAAGATAAATTTAATATTCAATTAAACTCCTGTCTCCTGCTTCATGAGCTATTGAACCTTTTTTGCATCTGTGGAAAACGTTTAAAAGTGAAATTATTAAGTGTCTGAGCATTCAATCCTGGTCCAATCGCCAATGAGTGGAGAGGTCCATAAGGCTCAAATAATAATTTGAGATGTGATATTTTATCCATGTAGAACACTCTTGCCACTCCCCCTTACCTGTGATGCCAACTTGCACATAGAAAGATAAATAGGAATAACAAATCCACTTACAACACGAAGAAAGAGGAATTTAATTACCAAATCAATGAAAAAGAGTTTTGCCCGAACTTTTCCCAAGTCCAGATCTGATATCTTGTCACAGTATCTAACTCAACACCAATTGTCAACAAATGGAGGGACTCTTTAACGATATACATCAACCTTGAGTGACTCTAGATGTAGGAAACAAACTCTATTTAGACCCTCCTTCATGGGAGATCTTGCCCGCACATGAGTCAACAATCAAACAAACAATGAGGCACTTATGACCGTTAATGAATATAGTTGGGTGGAATGTGAGGGGTTTGAGAAAAAGGTAATGAGGGAAATGTTTAGATGTGGTTGTTATTTAGGAGATAGAAAAGTAGTGATTGATAAGGCTATTATAAAAAGTTTGTGGGGATCTTAGCATAGGGAATTGACTTTCTTGTCTTCTTGTGAAAGCTGGGGAGGAGTGTTAATTAACTTGGGCACAGAGAGTATTGAAAGGTGTTGAAATTGTGTTGGGTAATTTTTAAGAGTGAATTTCAAGGGGCCTAAAGATGGTGATTGGTGTTTAACTGAAAAATATGGACCAAATCATCATAGGATGAGAGAGTCACTGTGGGAGGAGTTTAATAATGCTAAAGGGTTTTGTAGTTCTTGAGGGATCCACTAGGTGGGGGAGATTAATGTTGTGAGATATGTATTTAAGAGGATGAATGGTATTAGGAGCACTACTAGCATGAGGAAGTTTAAATGTTTAATTAGAGAGTGTTGCCTAGATCACCCTTCCTTGTTGAATGTAAATTTTACTTGGTCCAATATTAAGGAAAATATGATTTGTAGTTGATTGGATTGGTTCCTCTACTCACCAGAATGGGAAGAGCTTTCCCCTTGTGAGGCAAGTGGTTTTGATTAGGACTATCGCTAATCATTGCTTGTTGTGCCTTGGCACCTATTCTTTTAAATGGGGTTCAACGCCTTTTAGGTTTGAGAACATGTGTATTGAAGATCATTCCATTGCTATGAACTTTGAAGTGTGGTGGTCTGAGAGTGTTTTGGACGGGAGGGTTTTAAATTCATGCAAAAACTGAAATTGATGAAGCAATATTTGAAAGAGTGAAACAACAGTGGTTTTTGTGACATCAGATTGAAGGGGAAGTGCATTTTGAAAAGAATCAAGGACATATATTTCTTAGAATCGACAAGTGGGATAGAAGAAAATTTGGAAATTGAAAGGTGTGATCTTAGAATTAAGTTTAAATATGTGCAGTTGAAAGAAGTCATTAGTTGGAGACAAAAGGTTAAAGTAAAAGGGGTTAAGGAGGGTGATAATGATCATAATTATTTATTAGAATTGCAAATGAAAATCTGAAGAAGAAATCGGTCTCTAGGATAGTATATGAGTACGGAGACATGAGAGAGGGAGATAGTCTTAATGTAAGTGCATTTGTGAGTTATTTTTTCAACTATACTCTTCTGAGGTTGCACCATTTTACCAAACAGCTATAAAGACAACAGTGTTATATGAGATAGAATGTTAGGCTCTTAGGAAACAATATAGTGACAAAATGAGTGTAGTGGAAATGAGAATGCTAAGGTGGATGTGTGAAAAAACTATAAAGGATAGAATAAAAAATGACCATATTAGAGAAATGGTAATAGTAGCTCTAATTGAGGATAAATTAAGAAAAAATAGATTAAGATGGTTTGGTCATGTTCAACGGAGGCTGATAGATGNTTAAGGTGGATGTGTGAAAAAACTATAAAGGATAAAATAAAAAATGACCATATTAGAGAAATGGTAATACTAGCTCTAATTGAGGATAAATTAAGAAAAAATAGATTAAGATGGTTTGGTCATGTTCAACGGAGGCTGATAGATGTACATGTTCGAAAAAGTGAGATAATTTCTCTTAATGGTAGTAGAAGTAGAGGTAGATCTAATATTGAACGAAATAATAAGAAAAGATATAAATATTTAACTTAAATGAGCATACTACATATGATCAAAATGAATGGCGAAGATGGACTTGTGTAGCTGACTCCAAATAATTGGGACATAAGTCTTGGTTTGGTTTGGTACTCTTCTNAACTTAAATGAGCATACTACATATGATCAAAATGAATGACGAAGATGGACTCGTGTAGCTGACTCCAAATAATTGGGACATAAGTCTTGGTTTGGTTTGGTACTCTTCTGAGGTTGCAAGTAATAGTTTCTTGAGGAGTTGGATTTAAAGCAAGTCTTGTTGTCTTGAGGCACCTTCTGAGATAGACCAGGTCAAAGTTGTAGTGTTTGAGTTGGGTGGAGATAAATCCCCGGATCTTGATGAATTTCACTATGATTGTTTTCCAAAAATGTTGGAAGGTTATAGAAAGGGATTTGATGAAAGTTTTTGCAAAGTTTTTCAAGAATGGAAGTGTGAATTCATGCACATGGAAGTGTGANCAGGTCAAAGTTGTAGTGTTTGAGTTGGGTGGAGATAAATCCCCGGATCTTAATGAATTTCACTATGATTGTTTTCCAAAAATGTTGGAAGGTTATAGAAAGGGATTTGATGAAAGTTTTTGCAAAGTTTTTCAAGAATGGAAGTGTGAATTCATGCACATGGAAGTGTGAATTCATGCACAAATGCCTCATTTATTTGTCTAATTCCAAAGAAAAAGAGGTCTTCTAGGGTAACGGATTTTCTGCTAGTGAGTATTATGTCTAGTCTTTATAAGCTTTTGGCTAAAGTTCTTTCGAGCAGACATAGGGAATTGCTAGATGACACTATTTTGGCCTCTCAAGGAGCTTTTGTTATGCTATGAAGCACGGATACGGATACGGGTACGATGCGATACAGATACGACAAAGTTTAAAAAAGTGGGATACGGGTATGGTCAGGATGCGGCTATAATAAAATATATTTAATATTTTTATTATTTTCAACCAACTTAATACTTATATATTTTGGTTGTTCTTTAACATATAAGGAAAATTAGTAATTTTTTTTAATTTCAAGAAAATATATATTGTGTCGCTGCGGTATATTCACAAAGTGAAATGACTAATTAAACGAATCAAAACTAATATTTACTTAGTATTTAAAAGTAATTTTTGTTAAGATTATAATACAATAGCTTTATTGTATGGTCTTTTGACATGTAATTGTAGATAATACTTAAAAAAACACTCATGTGCCTTTGAAGTAATATGAAATTTTTGTTAATGTATTGTAGTATAGGCTGTATAGTATGTGAATTCGAAAAGAGATGTTAAAAGTTCAATTAAAAAATTATATATGTTGTTCTACTACAAAAGTATCCATGAAGTATCCTAATATTTAATTATTATCGGATACGTAAAAGATGTATTCGATACGTATTCTCGAGTATCGTATCCGATACGGGTACGTAAATCTCAACGAAATATACGTGTTTCATAGTTGTTATGCGTAGACAAATATTGGATGTGGTGCATATACTTATTGGTAATGAAATTGTATGAAATTTAATAAAAAGGATGGTTTTGTTTTAAGGGGGAAATTTGAAAAAGCATATGACTTGATGGATTGAAATTTTTTAGATAATTTGATCAAGTGTGAAGGTTTTGATTTTAGATTAATTAGTGGACTACAGTTTAAGATCGGTGAATTTTTTTGTCATTATTGGTCTTCAAAAGAAAGAATGTTTTAAGGTTACTAGAGTTTTTTGGCAAGATATCTTTTTTCTCCTTTTCTTTTTGCTTTGGTGGTTGACGTTTTGAGTAGAAAGAAGGAGAGGGCTAATAATAGGGAGGTCATTGATGGCTTTAGAAACAGGAGGGAAAGTGTCGAAGTAACTAATTTACAATACACAAATAACACTATTTTGTTTTGTGATGGAAATGAAAGAAATATGCATCCACTTTCTCTAATTTTTAAATGTTTTGAATTTGTGTCCAGCATTAAAATGAACTTGTGAAAGAGTGCAATTGCAGAAAATAATGTGCAGTATGACAAGTTGGTTATATTGGTCGAAGCTTAAGGATGTTCTATTTGGGATTGGACTTTGAAGTATTTGGGATCAACTTTGGGGGTAATCCAAATTGAGAAGTCAATGAGAGATTTTTTATGCAAGGACAGTGGAGAAGCTAGAAAGTTCATTTGGTGAGTTGGGATTTGCTGTCCAAATCTAAAGATTAAGGATGGTTTTACTTTGAATATTTTGGAAGTTAGGAATATTTCCTTACTTGCAAAATTGTTATGGAGATTCCTTATTGAGGTCCAATGTATGTCATTCTGTGATTAAAAGTAAATACAGGATTTAAGACAACGGGTGAGATTCTAAAAGGAGTAAGAGAGTGTGTTCTCGTTGTCTTTGCAAATTCATTCAACAAGGTTTATCCTACTTTTTCAAATTTGTTGTTGGTAGTGAGAAGAGGATTTGATTATTGGATGATGCTTTTTCCCGAGTTCGGGAGGATTAACTTCTACACTTAAGAAACTAAATACTAATAGTTTGCTCGAAAAAAGGATCATCTTTCTTTTTCCACAATGGTGCATTCTTTATAAAAATGGAGAGAAACTTGTGGATCATATATTTTTGCATTGCCCTTTTACTTCTAATTTGTGGACTAGGCTTTTGGCAGTGTTTGAGTTCATTTCGGTGACTCCTGGAGATTCTGAGGGAATTTTTGTTGCTGATTTTATGAGTTTTTCTTCAAGCTACAAAGTTAATATTTTATGGAGATGTGCGCTTTTTTGCATTGTTTTGGATAGTATGGTTCGAAAGAAATGTTAGGATTTTGGATGAGAGTAACTCCTTGGGAAGATTTGTGGGACAACTTATCATTGATGACATCTCTTTGGCTTTTGTGGCTAAAGATTTGGAAGGAATTCACTTCAGTTGATTAAAGATCATTGGGCTACATATTAAATCAAGCCTTAGAAATATTGATTATGATAATGTAGATGGTATTAAATAATTAGCAAAACATTCAATATATCCATGTGAAAAATCATTTTTTCTCATTGTTTTGAGATCCNGGATGAGAGTAACTCCTTGGGAAGATTTGTGGGACAACTTATCATTGATGACATTTCTTTGGCTTTTGTGGCTAAAGATTTGGAAGGAATTCACTTCAGTTGATTAAAGATCATTGGGCTACATATTAAATCAAGCCTTAGAAATATTGATTATGATAATGTAGATGGTATTAAATAATTAGCAAAACATTCAATATATCCATGTGAAAAATCATTTTTTCTCATTGTTTTGAGATCCAAAAGTACTATTTTTGTTTTTGCATTTAAGTTTTGTGCCGAATAACTCCATTAATCAAATTTGATTTCGGTGGTTACATATAATTAAATTTGTCTTCGGTTGAAGATATAGAGAAATAATTGAAACTTGCTTCGATAGTGAAATATATATATTTTTGAATGAATGTAAGTTGGAATTTATGTATGCTGAATTTTCTTGAATGAGTTAGGCATCATTGAAGATTACATAAAATTAGAGACATTTTTAAATGAGAGAATTTAGTNATCTTCGGTTGAAGATATAGAGAAATAATTGAAACTTGCTTCGATAGTGAAATATATATTTTTTTGAATGAATGTAAGTTGGAATTTATGTATGCTGAATTTTCTTGAATGAGATAGGCATCATTGAAGATTACATAAAATTAGAGACATTTTTAAATGAGAGAATTTAGTAAGAAAATTGTGATTATAATTAGTTTCTTGATAGTGAGCTTCTCTTTTTTTGTTTTTTACTCACTAAGAAATCAAATTAAAATCTACCGAGTCGTATCCGACTCGGTACATTCTAATCCGATATTTTTCATGGTTTAAATTCACGATATCGAGCATCTCAACTCGAAGGGCTCTAAGAAGCATCGGTTGCTTGGCAACTCAAGGTTGACTCGACCAAATTATGTGAGACACGTTTNTTGAAATCGTTTTTTAACCAATTCTTAAATTTTATCTTTGGGGCCCCAACATTTTCTTCTAATTTGGGACCAATACCAATGTGTATCAACCGAGTCGTATCCGACTCGGTACATTCTAATCCGATATTTTTCATGGTTTAAATTCACGATATCGAGCATCTCAACTCGAAGGGCTCTAAGAAGCATCGGTTGCTTGGCAACTCAAGGTTGACTCGACCAAATTATGTGAGACACGTTTATACATAACATGGAACGGTATTGTATTGAAAGTTACTTGGATCGAAAGGTGCTAATTCGGATTCAACGTCGTTTATAGGTATCGATATTGGCAGATACTTTGAACCATAATAGTGTTCTACATTATGTGTAATTCATGTGTCTAACGGGGCTTGGCCTGGGACATATCCAGATCAATCTTGCATTGCCGAGTTATCCTCATCAAATTGCCCGATACCATGTTGTGACACCATAATATGACAATTTTNGATCGAAAGGTGCTAATTCGGATTCAACGTCGTTTATAGGTATCGATATTGGCAGATACTTTGAACCATAATAGTGTTCTATATTATGTGTAATTCATGTGTCTAACGGGGCTTGGCCTGGGACATATCCAGATCAATCTTGCATTGCCAAGTTATCCTCATCAAATTGCCCGATACCATGTTGTGACACCATAATATGACAATTTTCAATTTACGTCTTCAACAGAAGTTATTAGATTGTATCGACTGATTTCCATCCACGACGTTAAGATGATGATTCTTGGAGGCTGAACCATGTGCACAAAGCTCATATATAGATTGAGATGGGTTATTTTGTCGATGTGGGACAGCCTCTAATAAACGAAGATTAGAAAATGTAACATCTATGTACGAACAATTTTCAATTTTTTGTTTTTCTGTTTTTGTTTAGATATTTGGCACTCATGCTTCTTGGGGTTCTATTGTGTCTCCATTTTTGCAGTGAAGTCAATACCTTCAGTGTCTGAATTTGTTGCTCAGTTGCAGATCCTGGAGTTGCTGGACAATGTATGCATTTGGATTTTAATGCCCTTTTCCACTCTTTCAAACTCCCATATGTTCTCATTGTATTATGTGTATACACTATGTTATGTAAATTATTTCCAATTGCCTTTGGTGTTGTGTTAGGCAATTTTTACTGCTGGCTACAAGGCTGTGTTGCACATTCACGCTGTGGTAGAGGAATGTGAAATTGTTGAGCTGATGCAGCAGATAGATCCGAAGACGAAAAAACCTATGAAAAAGAAACCACTCTTTGTGAAGAACGGTGCTGTTGTTGTATGTCGCGTTCAGGTTTGTTTCATTACCTGATTACTAATGTTCATAGGGATAAACCTTTTTTGTAATTCTGGCGAATCCTGTTTCCTGTTAAATTGTTTACTAATACAAAGGTTTCTCCTTGTATAGTTCTGTGTCATAGGCTGTGTTTCATAAATAATCTGTGTGTGTTGTGGTGGAGAAGATGCATATAGTTTTATAAGTTGTTTGGTACCTTCTTCCTAATGGGATGAGGTGTAGGGGTGCAAATCAACCGAGCCGAATAATCAACTGTTCCGACTTGGCTCATATGTTTTGGAAATATGTTCAGACTTAGCTCAAGCTTGCACGCATTTTAAGCAATATATGCTCAAACTCAGTTTTTTATTATTTCTCCAAGCTCGATCTCAGCTCATTTAATTTAATAGTTAACAAGCTAAGACAAGCCAGAAGCACAAGTAGTGAGGAAAGGAAAGCCCAACTATATTCCCTTTTTGTGGGGTGCCCCTGCTTCTCTACTTTTAACCTGAACCAATACAACCTTGAAGTTGCTCTTTGTATGGTGCCTTTCCTTCTGCAAGTTCTTTTACTCTTTGGATGGTGCGTTTCCTTCTGTAGTCTTTTCATTCGGTGTGGGATTTGTGCACCCAAGGCTTTTAAAAGTGCACAGTTACTCTTTTCCTTTTCTTTATCCAGACATCCCCACGTAGACAACGCTATATTATTAAAAAAGTACACAACCACTGTATGTTGTATATACTAGATACATGTTACCTGTTTCCTCCAATATATATATATATTTCTAGCTCTTTTATCTTTGTAATTCAAATGTTTAGCTGAAGACATCACCAGGATCCACTACCCAATCCCTAAAATCTGCCCCTAATCAAAGTTACTAGTTCCCCAAAAAACAACAAAAGCATTTGCAACAATCTACCACCCAACAGATCTAATACACAATGTCACATAAAGTTACACACAAAAAAATAAACCACAACTCATACAACCAAATAATCAAAATATGTCTTTACGATATCCAATGCCCAAAGGCAAGATGCAACATAAAATCCGATTGCCTAAAAAATCAATTCCACTATATCAAATAATTTTTTTTCTTTCTTTAATTGCATAATTTGAAATTAATTTTTATCCATTTTTTTTTTGTAACAATCGACAAGTTTTTCAAAATTCATTACCTCAAAAAAAATCAATGTGTGTACATTATCGTATATGAACAATTTTTGAAATAAAAATTGAGATACAGACTAACCAAAAATTAATTCAACTTGTGGTAAAAAATGGGTGATGTAATAGAAAGAGGCGGAAAAAAAATAGATTTATTTTTGCTTATAGATTAAAAAGTTGCTTGAAATTAACGGAAGCATTTGAAAGTTGCGGTGGCCCCATGATTATCTAGTGTAAATGCCACCCATGTCATAGGTTATTTCAATGGGCCCAACGACATGACTCTTTTAAACTCAAATATCGAGGAAGAGAGTACTGAAAAAGTGGGAATAGACTACACCATAAGCATGTATCCACCTCAACTGAACTGGAGTGCTTGTAACCTTTATGTTGCTCTTTATGTGCACAGTAGCCTAGAACCCAAGCACAAAAGCATTCAAATGGCGTGTGTAAAAATGGTATATTTCTCCATTCTTGGTCAGTTTTGGAAACCATCTTTTTGGGTGGGAACTCAGATTTTGAGGAGTAATTTCTAGCCATCAGATCATCTTTAATTCGCGAAAATCAAAAGTTATTTTTTGTATCTTNAAAAGCATTCAAATGGCGTGTGTAAAAATGGTATATTTCTCCATTCTTGGTCAGTTTTGGAAACCATTTTTTTGGGTGGGAACTCAGATTTTGAGGAGTAATTTCTAGCCATCAGATCATCTTTAATTCGCGAAAATCAAAAGTTATTTTTTGTATCTTTTAAAATTTGAAATGACTTGTACTTTATTGTATAGATATGTAGGTATATGAGGTCAGTTTTTCCACGAGCCTGATGAGTTGGACAAGGCATTGTTTGGACTTGACTCGTTTATTTACCAATTTCTAAAATTGGGCTCGATCTCGGTTTGTTTTGTAAAAGAAAGAACTTAAATGAGCTCCAATAAGAGCTGATCTAGAGTTGTCCATTATCAACTCNAAGGCATTGTTTGGACTTGACTCGTTTATTTACCAATTTCTAAAATTGGGCTCGATCTCGGTTTGTTTTGTAAATGAAAGAACTTAAATGAGCTCCAATAAGAGCTGATCTAGAGTTGTCCATTATCAACTCGGTTCATTTGTAGCTTTAGTGGGATGTGTGGTGGGGGTAGTTTTTTTTTTGGGAGATCAAAGGAAAGGGCCGTGGTGTGGGGGAATTTTAATGAAAAAGCTATCCTAATATTCTCTTGGTCATTTTCATCATTTTTGGTTTTTCAGCATCATTCGTTCTATTTCTGGTTGAATTTTAAAATAATGGAATCATGGATCCTTGAGTATAGTATTTTTTTTTAATTCTAACTTGATTAGTTTATCCCATTCTAAAATGTGATTCCCAGGTGAATAACCAGATATGTGTTGAGAAGTTTTCTGATTTTCCACAGCTTGGAAGGTTCACTCTTCGCACTGAAGGTGACAAACTGAATTTGTGTTGTTGAAAAGATGCATGTAGGGTTGTGACAAGTATAAATATCTTTCACAGGAAAAACAGTTGCAGTAGGGAAAGTTACTGGCCTTGCTTCTGTAGATGATAGTGCTTAAATTTTTTTCGCATGCGAGGTAATGACTTTTATTTTCCCTTCAATGTCAAAGTTACTTCTTGTTCTTGTGATTTATATTTGTTTGTAGCTGCTTTAGTATTAGCAAAACTTTTCTGACTTGTCTTAGTGACCTTGTTTGATTGTCCCTTGTTCACAATTGATGTCAAGTTGTGAGCAGAGAGTTCAGATACTCCCGAAGAAAACTGCTTTTCCTTCTGCCTTGAAATTTTTTGTCTAGCATCATCTAACAGTTTGCCGTGTATCTAAGGATCCCCATTTTGATTTTGATATTCATTTCTGTGATGGATGCTATCATATGTTTTAAAATGCAAGTGGGAGGTGTTGAAAAAGATCTCATTGATGCGTTTGTGTTCCAACTAAGCAGCATGAGCTTGATGGCTCCACACGATTCTGCCTAAAAAGTGCTCGACTGGCCGTTGGAGTGAAGCACTTCATCAGTGCGTAGTTTGTTGATTTTAACAGCTTTAGGATCTGTAAAACTGCCGTGATCTATATGCATATGTTTTGGGCATGCTATCTGTTGATATATCCACTGCATTGAAGTTACATGATATTGATTTTTTTCTTAAATGTGTGTGTAATAGTCTTTGGTTTAATGCTTAAGTAGGGTGTTTGTTGTGAGAATGACGTTTTTATTAGCTGTTTTGATGTGCGGGAACTGCGAATATTTGACTTCTGACCTTTCGACTGTATCTTAGACTTGGCTTGGTGATATCTTGGGCCATATTGTAGTTAACTGAAGATTGTCAGGTGAATAACTATCCATTTACTTGTTTTTCTTGGATCCTGTGATTCATTGTGCCATGGTGAATAAAAACTTGTTTTGCAGGCAAGTTGACTATAGCGTACAAATTGTGTGGACACAAAGCAAAAGCAGCACAAAGGGCTTTTACTCATGGCATCAGCTGCAATTGAATGCAATACATGGATTTTGATATAGCATGACAAATCCTTATTGTGTTGGCTATCGTTGCTGGTGTCACTGCTTTTGGATACAATTTTCTGAAGAAATGATGCTTTCTATACTTGATGGGGTATGACGTTTCAACGCATTCAGGCGTCCATATTAAAGTAACCTACCATCGTTCCCAGGTTTAAAGAAATATTCTGGAGTGACATTGGTTATGTAATGTGATGGTCATTTTTGTGGACTGGACCAATATCCCTTGCTTTTTCTGGAGGGTTTGAGTGATTAATTTTTTGTTGCCTATAATCTGAGAGAGAGAGCGCGCACACACACACACACACACACACACACACACCCCTACGTGTTAAATTTATTTGTCTCAAGTTTGATTGGTTTCTGTTTGTTTTCTGAATAAGTGTGGGAAAGTGTAATAGAATAACATGTATTGTTCTTTGGTTTTCTGGAAAATGAAATTCTATATAGTACTTGAGAGCTCACTGCTTGCGTCACTATATATTTGTATGTAAAAACATGATAAACAAAAAGCAAAATTCATACGTCTTTTACATGTGGGATTTCGTAAGTATTATCTGTTATCTATAATATGTTAAATGAACATAAAATAAGTCAAGTATAGAAATTGCTGTTTCTGGTTCTTTTATTTACTTGCTTTGCTTTGTGGGTACCATAATGAAATAATTTAAGCTGCTTTGGTTAAAGAATGCTTATTACTTGGGAATATTTGATGAATTGTTGAAAATTACAATTATTAAATTGTCAAATAATAGTAAAAATATAAATATTTTTTTTCGTAGAAAAGTATTTATATTTTTATGTTTTGTTGTATTTAGTACCTATATTATGTCGTTATTCCTGTTTTAAGCTAGGTTGAGGTTAGCATGAAAGTTTGGATTAGACCACAGTCATATAGGATTGGAAGTTAGGCATGTCAAAATTTGACATGACACGATTAATTGATATAAATTAAGCGGATTTGGGTGGTAAACGAATTGATCTGTCAAATTTGTTTAATAAATGGGTCGTGTTCGAATGTGACCTGTTAGTTCTGGAATCAGACTCAAAGACCACGGCCTGGTATCCTTCCCTTAGAGCAATTGTGCATGCTCCTCTAACAGCTTCTGATTCAGTCGTCAAAGGTGTTCTGGACAAAGGCCTTGCTTCTCCATCCACCATTAATCCCTCATGGTTTCTTGCTATAACTGTGTAAGCCCCTTCCCCAGTGGTCTCATCGTATGCTCCATCACAATTAAGCTTTATCCAATGTCATGGTGGGGGCTCCCATTTCTATTCCTTAGCTTCTCTGCCATTTTTTGGCTTTGCAGTATCATTCTTCTGTTGGGTCTCCTTTGCTGCCATTACATCTTGACTTAGAACCCCTCTACTCTTGGGTATTCTTTGCTGATACACCCATTCATTACACACCTTCCATAAAAATCAGCATATGTAGGTCTGTAACGATTGACCCTCTTTGTGTTTTAGGCCCTTGTCCCTTTTGTTATGAATCTGTTCCTCCAACTAGTCTTCAATCCTACTCACTTTGTATCTATCAACGTCAATTTGCAATGGGATGTTCTCCAAACCTCACTTGCCTAAGGGCATAGTAGCAATAAGTGTTCAATAGTCTTTTCCTCTTCCCCACATATGGGGCACATTGGAGAGTTAGATAGTTTCCTTCTCCATAGGTTCCATCTTGTGGCTAATGCACCATTGGCTACCTACCACATAAACATCCTAACTTTTTGACACACTAGTAAGTGCCATATCATCTTCCAGAGGTCTTGTGGGGCTCTATAGGATGTAGAAGCATGCAGGTGTTTACTCCCCTCTTCAATACTGCTCCATTATAGGTGATATCCACTCTTCACTGAGTACCATCCATTCCTCGAATGTGACCATCTAACTGTGTTTGTTTGTTGTGTTTCACTGAGGGGTATTTCTAGGATGTTCTTTGCAATATCAGCTGGAAAAGAAATCAGGACCAACTCTTTATTCCACCTTTTGTTAGGGACCTGTATCAACTCTTGCACCCTTCTCACCCTACTATTTTGGGTGTTAGCAATCTGTTTATGCCCCATTACCCAGGTATCCTCCCAACAATCAACTTGGCTTCCATCCCCTATCTGCTAGTAAAAACCTCTTTATACCAAGTCTCTGCCTTGTAATAGGCTTTTCCGTATCCAAGAATTAGTAGCTCTCGATTTTGCTTTCCAAATAGATCCCTGTGCAAAGTACTTGGTCTTGAGAATTTGTACCCATAATGCTCTTGGGTCTTGTATCATCCTCCATATTTGCTTTGCCAGCATGGCTTTGTTGAAGCTTTCCAGGTTTCTGAATCCTAATCCTCTAAGTTATGTGCTCCCAGCTCCTCCAGTGTATCCCTCTTTCCCCTGTCGACTTGCTCCACCAAAATCTTCTGATACTTGCAGTTATTTCTTGACAAAATCCTTTAGGTAACATAAATATAGACATAGCATAAGTGGGTATTACTTGCACCATAACCTTGATTAGGACCTTTCTACCTGCATGATTCAAAAAATTTTCCTTCCATCCTGATATCTTGCTCATTATCCTACCTTTCAGCCCTACAAACACTTGCCTCTTTGATCTTCCCCACTCTGTTGGTAGTCCCAGGTATTTACCTGTTTTCAGCATTACAGGTATCCTAAGCTCTGCTGCCAACTCTTGTTGCACATGGACTGGGGTATTTCTGCAAAAAGTTACTCCAGACTTATTTAAGTTCACTATCAGACCAGTAGCATAGCAATACTGATTCAGTATGTCCATTACTACCTGGCATTGAGTCCTAGTAGCAGTGGAGAAGAATAATGAATCATCAGCAAACAATAGGTGAGTCAAACAGAGAGCACTCCTATTGATCTTTAGTCCTTTGAGGGACCCATTAACCATGACTCTTTGCATCAAGACAGTAAGACCTTGGGAGATCAGAATGAATAGGTAAAGTGAGAGAGGGTCCCCTTGCCTCAACCCTCTAGTTGGTGTAATTCTTGTTGCTTTTCCCCCATTTACTAGTATGATATACCTCAGTTGTTACACATTGCATCACTAGAGACGCCCACCTGTGCTCAAAACCCAATGTAAGGGGCATGTCCCTAAGAAAGTCCCATTCTACCCTGTCGTATGCTTTTGTCATATCTAGTTTCAATGTCATTTGATATTTTCTAGTTCCCCTCCTCTGTCTAATTGAATGTAGCACCTTCTGGGCAATAATAATATTATCTTGTATTAATCTGCCTCCCATGAAAAGTTTGAGCCTTGAAGCTATCAGCTTAGAGATTATTTTATAAATAAATTTACATCAGCTAATAGGTTTATACTCTCCTTTACATCAGCTAATAGGTCTATACTCTCCTATACGTTCAGAGTTTGGCACTTTTGGGATTAGAGTTACGTTTGTCTCATTCAATTCCTTTAACAAGTATCCAGATTGAAAGGAGATGACATCACTACACACCTCATCCTGAATGATATGCCAGTACCTTTGGTAGAATAGGCCAGGGAGTCCATCTGGTCCTGGTGATTTAAGAGTTCCAAGCTGGAAAATTGCTGCTTTGATTTTCTCTACTGTGGGAGTTTTCATCATCTCATGACACATTTGTGTTGTAACGACTTGTGGGATCAATTGTAGAATCTGAGTAATTCCTCTCCCCTTCATTTGTGAATATCATTTGATAATGGTCTTCAATTAAAGTCATTATCTGCTCCTTTTCCATCACCCACTCATCATTTGGACCCTTAGGCATAGTGAGCCTATTTCTTTGTCTCCTCTGTACCGTGGTTGCGTGAAAGAATTTTGAGTTTCTGTCCCCCCACTTTAGCCATTTGAGCCTTGATCTCTGGCCCCAATATTTTTCTTCTCTTTGCCACACTTTCTCTAGATCTTGTTTGACCCTCCTGATCTCTTCTTGGGGCACATTCGGATAAGAATGATTTTGGAGCTCCAACAACTTGTTCTCGAGGCCATTAATTTGTCTTTTGTTATTGGCATATTTCTTGGAACTCCACTCCCTCAGTTGTCTTTACAGCTTCATAGT